TCCTTGAATATTCTGTTTTGCAAGTATGCATCTATGCATTGTTCTGGTCTTCTGTTCATTCTGTTTATTGCTGATGTGAGGGCACTTTCCTGGTATTCCAAGATAGCTGAAAAACCAGTTTCAAGATGGCCCTGCCAAAAGACACTTGTCGGTGTGGTGATAATAAGGTTCAATAAAAGTGCATGATGCAATTGTAATCTCTTTGCATGTTCAGGAATGTTGTGCTCAAATTCTAAAGAGCTTCAGGTTAGCTTAATAAAATCTGGATAACTAATTTTATACAGGATTAATAAATACTTTAAAACCCCACTACTCACCTCTTCCTAGAGAGAGGTCTTTGATGGGTCACACAACCTTCTTTTAGCATGCATTTTATTTAATATGTTATTGAATGAAATTTGGCATACATAAGCTACCTCATTTTCACACAGACTGAATGACAATTAAATGAATATATTTAGTTTAATTAATCCTTAGTGACACTACTGATGGTTTTGTTTCACATGCTTCCCATAGATGAGCATTCATTAAATGACTTGTACCGTGACTTTGCCCATCCCAAAACTCATTTATCAACTCACTATTGCCTTAGAGCAGTGCAGTGCACATGGGTAGATCATACTATTACCAGGGTGTATTAATACTGTTATTCCATGTGAAGAGTAAAACAGATGTTCCCTATTAATTCCCACTGATGGCAGAACAGATGAATTTCAACAGATTTGGTCTGTTCCACATATACAGTAAAGCCTTTATCCTATCCTACAAGCGGATTCTTTACTCTGTAACACAGGACATGAATTTGCTGCTTCATTGAATACAGAATATCTCCAATGGATGTTATATGGTGCTAAATGTGTATTGCATGGTAGACTGCTTATTACAATTTAATGTGTACTTATATTACCATAGAAATCTACCAGTTCATCTTTGCATACAGATTTAATTTTCACGAAACATTAAAATGACCAGCCGGTACTGTGTAAATGTGCATATATTTTGTTTCATTTTGATTATTTTTGAATATTAAGTATTATGGCTAACAATGAAATAAAGCCAGAAATTATTTTATGAAAATGTGTCTTTGATTTGTGTACAAGTTCTAGTTACTAGTAAGAAACAAGTCGTAAAACGTTTAAAATACTGTCTCTGCAAATGCAAAATTTATGAATTCACACATCCCTGGTTGATTTATGTGAAATAATAATGCACTATTTAATGCTTAAACATGGCTAGGAGCAATTCTAAGCTATCAAGATGTACGATGGAATAATAGATTTATAAGATGGATAACCTTCCTGTCTAGAAAAGCTTGTTTAAAGGTGTTGTACAGATATATTAAACTATATGTAATTTTATACTAACTTAATGCTTTAGGCTCTTTCAACAAACAATGAAAGATTACTGTTGTTATATTCCTAAAAACAAAGAGATCGACCTATTAATAAGGAACCATCAAAGCAGCAAATAAAAGTTATAATTGCAATAATAACTTTTCATCTCTGATTTGCTTAGCTGCATTTTCTGCCCAAACTGATTGTCTTTTCAATTTTTTTTCCAAACCTCTAGTGAACTAAGATGATATGTAACAAATGCTACACCAATGCTTTGAGCAAAGCTTTTGTTTTCAAATAGATACTGAATAGAATCTCAGTTGCTTGTTTGGAAATATCATAACAAGCATACCATAACTATCAACGTTATTTTTCCAACTGATATGCATATGTGTCCTCCCATATTTTCAACAAGTGTTAATTCTTAATGGATGTTCAGACAATGGATGCAGACTAACGAATATACAGATGTATTCAAAATTATTCAACCCCTATTAAAAAATGTCAAAATGTACAGACTTTCAGCTGTTTGCAATGAACAAATAAAATAAATCCAATTGAAACAGCTAAACACAATTGCTTCAAATGGTTTCCCCAAATTCAACTGAAAATGCAACTTATAATCACTTCTCCAGTCTAAAAATTATTCAACCCCTGAATAGAATCTCTCACAACAGCACAATTATGAAAAATAGGTGTTGACTCAAGCATACCTGAGGCAACTAATCAAGGGTTTCATTAGTTGCTCTAGGTGTGCTTGAGCTGGAACACTTGAAGTACCTGAATTGACTAGGGGTTTGTTGAGTGTCACGTTTGACTGCATGTTAGAAATAATTCAGTGGTCCACAAAGTTAAGAGAAAAGATAGTCACCCTTCACAAACAAGGAACAGGATACAAAAAGATAGTGAAGGCACTGAATGTTCCTAGGGACACCGTTGGAAGCATAGTTTGCAAGTTCAAAGTTCAAGGAATAGTGGTTACACTACCTGGACGGGGCAGAAAAAGGAAGCTCAGTGTTATGTTTGTTTGTTAGTTTACATGGATTGTATTTGTATGATTGTGTGATTCTCATGTGTCAATTAAATGAAACATACGTCCTTTGTTGTCCTTTGACAACTCATAAAATAATTTAGTAAAAGCAAACATATCTTCAACACAGAACAGTTGCTTCTCAACATCGTTGAAAAATTGTTCCCTTAGATTTAAATTAAGGTTTAGACTAGGATCAAGGTTTGTTTAATATTATGGCAAAACCAGTACATACATGTTCCATATTAATATTGGTGGGAATTTTACTTCAGATCAGTAATTGCTGCTGGTTGTGTCTGCCATCCATAAAGGAATGCTCTGGGCAGTGTTACAACTTCATTTCAATAAAAGCTGGTATGCGGCCTGGAGTCCCACAATGCCATCTTACCTTTAAGTGTTAAACTGTTTTCATATGTTGTAATGCTAAAGATGTGTCTCCAGGTTCTAGTCTGCTGCTCTCCTCTTCTGCGAGAACATCAGCTGAAGTTCTCAGCTTATCAATGGCCACCCATAGCAGGTAATGGATTAAAATGTATGTATATTTAATCATTAGCCTGAGCAGAAGAGGAGAGCATCAGACTGCCACCTGAGGACACATCTTAAATGTTAAACCATTCAAGAAGGTTTTAATAGTTAAAGGTAAGACAACAGGGAAATCTCCAGGCATCAAAACAACTTAATTGAGATTATTATTTACATCAACAACAGCACCAACATATTTTGCAGTGATTTATAATTATAAATTGGGGATGGTAGACAATTAATTGACATACAAAATATTAACAGAGACAAGATGTGAAGATGGACCTGTTCAAACGAGCATACAATCTATGAGGAAGGGAAATAGACACAGAAGAGGGATAACAGCATAGTGGACAAGGGATTGATAATTAAGATGTATTTGTCAAAATGGACTAATAAAAGTGGTGTGTATCTGTAAGCAATAGACAGTTGAAGGGAGATAGTGAATTGGGCTTTAGGGGAGCGGAAACTGTGGAGGCAATCGTAGGAGAGTCACCAAGTAAAATGTTAGGATTTCTTAAAGAGGTTTGTTTTCAGTGACTTCTTAAAGAATTAGAGACTAGGTGAGAGTCCTATGGCATGGGGTAGGGAATTCTATAGAATGGGGCAGTACTTATAAAATCCTGCAGGTGAGAATTAGCAGTGCGGAAACGAGCAGATGTCCAGTGAAGGTCACTCACAGAATAAAGGAAACGAGAAGGGGTATATATGTTGAGCCAAGAGGAAATCTAGTGTTGAGAGGAGTTATTGTGGGCTTTGTAGTTTAATGTTAGCAGTTTGAATTGGATCCTGAAGGGTACAGCAAGCCAATGTAATGATTGGCAAAGGGGTGAAGTGTGGGAGTAGTGGTCAGTTGAGGAAATGAGCCCGGCTGCAGAATTAATTAAAGACCGAAGAGAGTCTATGTAGGTATTTGGAAGGCTGATGAGTAGTGAGCTTCAGTCATTTCAGGAAATGATGAGTGCATGAACAAGTGCCTTAGTTGTGTCATGAGTTAGAAAAGGGCAAATGTGGAATGTGGATATATAACTCTTTATTTTTGCTGTGCAGATGATTACAGAGAAGCTTGCTGTGCCACGACAGCTAAAGTTAGCATGATATAGTCATACATACTAAAAAATAGGCATGTCATTGAAATAGTAGCACAATTTTAAATGTAAGAAAAGTGTAAGAGAAATAATAGAGAAATACCCTGAGTGGTAGAGGGTAAGAACAATTTCAGAATGGAACCTATACAAAGGAACTTGAACTTGTCTATGGTAAGTTGGTACCAGCTTATGCCCACTCACAGGAAAATATAACAAGAAATTAAAATTTTGTTTGTTAAAATAAAAGAAACGTGGGAGACATCAGAAAATAACATGCATATAGGATTTCACTGTAGCATATCTGAAACATGAAATCAGTCGTAGCTTTAATGCTGGGGAGGACATGCAAAAGCATTGTTTGGTACAGATCAATTAGGAAACATAATGTCACGAGAAACTGCACTTTTTAAAAAAAAGATAAAAGTAAAATAATATGCAAGAGTAGTAGGTCTAGATACGAATGAGAAGTAATGCATAGGCCAATTTCCGACATTCATAGTAAGAAGTGTACATTAGAGATGTCGCGAACCGTCCGCGAACTTCCCGCGAACGGTTCGCCGCGGTTCGCGGCGAACTCCGGTCAGCTGACACATCCCTGTCAATCTCCGGCAGACCCTCCCTCCCAAACCCTCCCACCTCCTGGACAGCATCCATGTTGAAGCTGCCTTCAACATGGATGCTGTCCAGGAAGTAGGAGGGTCTGGGAGGGAGGGTCTGCTGGAGATTGGCCGGGATGTGTCAGCTGACCGGAGTTCGCCACGAACCGCGGCGAACCGTTCGCGGGAAGTTCGCGGACGGTTCGCGACATCTCTAGTGTACATACGTTTGGAATAACAAGCTTAGTTAACTCGCTTGAATCAATTAAGGTATCCACTGAGACTTTGCTAGAATCATTACTATAGTGCCGTTCCATTAAGGAAGAAAGTAAAGAATAGGGCTAAAACAAGTTTAAAAAAAAAAAAAAAAAACAGAAGTAAGGGGCATATCAAGCTGAAATATCATAATGCCATTGGGGAGAAGTGTATCTCAGATGTTGAGACCGGGACCCGAGTCAGCCGATCCCTGATAGCGGCAAGAGTGCAAGAGGTTCGGTGCAGCAGCATTGTAGTAGAGCCCCTCTCCAGTTTTGGGTCCATCTGCGGGCTGCCTCCCGGTGCTACAGTCCTGGTAACTCTTATATGCCAGGGCGTTTTTCTCTGCTGAGAGCAGACTGCAGATCAGGATGGAGGACGCTTCTTTCGGCGGATCATCCTCGCCCTGTATGGTCAGTATAAAGCAGTAAGGCTCTCGGCCCAGGCAATGTAAAGGAGTATGGGGCTCTCAGCCCAGGCAGGCATGCCATAAAGTAGATAAGCGCTTGGGTAGGTATGACAACCAGGTGGTTGGTCGTCTCTGGCAATAAATTTATCTCCGTCTCTGGTGTGGAAGTCTGTGTGCAGTCCTTGAGCTTCTCCCAGAAACACTGGAAGATTTCATTGAGTCGTCACAGGGTAAAAGCCATAGATCCAATAAGGGACTGCCGAGACCAGCCTGAGCCCCGTATATCTGATGAAACAGTGGTCGCCATCTTGATGAGTCAGAGCTCCCAAGATGCGTGACCAAGTCGGCTCTGAACAAGAGGTGAGTATGGCAGAAGTAGCTTCAAAGAGGTCAGTGGAGACCTGGATAACCCCCATCGGATCCTTTGCCGATAACCCCCATCAGCCGAAGGATCCGATACTTCACAATGAAGAAATCCTGGGCCACCCACGGGTGCTCACCGGACCATAAGTATCTGGAGGCCGCAACTGCCGTCTTGCAGAAGTGAGGAGACCCGGAATTCGCTCCACAGTTGCCCAAGGGGTACCAAGCTAGGGTGCCAGTACAGGTATGTTTGGAAACAGGGTATTTTCCCCCTCAAAGTCACTTTATAAGCAGAATCAGGCCGAAGCTCAAGCAGCATGCTACCAGCCAGTATGGCGTCCAAGCTCCCGAATGTGGCAATATTTGTAAGGTGGAAGTTAAAAAATTTGGATATAGACTGGGTGTGAGGAGAAAAAGGTCTTAGTCAAAAATAACTCCAAGGCAGTTTGAGGAGTTGAGGTTGACGTCCCATTGACTTGCAGGGAGATAGATGGAGGACTATTTGAGGGAGGAAAGATGAGGAATTAAGTTTCAGAAAATGAAAAGACATCCAGTTACAGAAGAAAGAGAGTCAGCTTGTGACGTGTTCCAGGAAGGAAGCAGAGAGGTCAGAGAAGGGGATGTAAATCTGAGAATTGTCAGCAAATAAATGGCATGGAAATACAAAGGAGTTAATCCAAAAGAAAGAAGAATATGTAAGCTTCGTATTTGGAGGGGTAGAGGATAGGGTTGATTGTATTTCTAATTTGGTTAATCTTGTCAGTAGGGTGACATGCAAAATCACTAGCAGTAAGGTTAGTTAATGGTTGAAGGGGAACAGTTAAAGGTATGAAAAAATCTGAGTAGGTCGAATACTGAGAGAGTGTTTGGCAAATGAGAAAATGGGAGTATAGGAATATAGCATGGCTTCGTAACACAGGAAGTCAGGTGTTGTGCGTAAATTTCTCCAACACTACAGTATGGGACCATTGTTGGAGATATTGAGTGAGCTTACTATGCCAGGGATGAAGGTATGGGTGGTGCTTAGAGTGAGCTTTAAAAAGGTCACGTCATGAGTGGTAGACAGGACAGAAGTGTAGTATGGGGTAGCTTGAGAGGGATTGGAGAGGGTTGTGAGAGGAGAAAGTGGAGGCTGGAGAGAGGAAGAAAAGTAATGCAGATCAAGTGAGCATAGGCTTCTGTTAAAGAAGTTAGAGACAGAGCAAAAAGTGGAAAAGACAAGATCAATGATATTGCTGGCTATGTTTGTTGGGAAGTTAGTCCATTGGTTAAAGACAAAGGAGGAGGTGATAAATAGAAATATAGATGATTAGGTGACAAAGCAAAGCAGAAAAATTATCAAGGAAAAGTAAAAGAGAGCCACAGGGATGGTAAATAATGGTGAAACGAGCTAGGATTGAGGAAAAGGATGAAGTGGACAAAAGAGGAAAAACAGAGAGAGAAGGACTAGGTGGCAAAGGTTGGAAGAAATAATAAGGAGAGAAAACAAAAACCTACACGCTACACCCCTAGCATCACATGGCAAGCAAGAGTGGATAAGCACAATCCACCATAGGAAAAGGATGCAGGGGTAGCAGTGTTAGAAGGAAAGATCAAGATTTCAATTAGACATAAGGAGATTTCATGGTATTACAGACTGAGCATACATTGTAACGCTCTCAGTAAATAGAATGGGATAAAGTGAAGTAACCGGGTAAATAAGAGATTTGCAGTACCCCTGATAGAATGGAGGGTAGGGTGAGCAGCAGGGGTGTAGGACTAGGAGACACTTCCCCAGTTGGTGGGAATGAGACCTAAAGGGATGTGCTTTAAAAAAAAGGATTTGGAGGAATTGAGAGGAGGGCAAGCAGATGGGTGATAAAATTGCATTGAATAAAACAAGTGGTTAAGGAAGTGTAGAAGGAGCAATACAGATTTAGTTACTTGGTGATGATGGGTGAAAAGAACAGTATGCAATTTAAAAAAAGTGAAAAACAGAAAATGAAAAGAGTAAGAATGGAAACATTGGATAAACCGCTTTATAAAGACTTTGAAGGTTGTGTCAAGTGGTGTAGTTGTTGTCATGGTGCTAGACGCATCCCTTTAATTCTCCTCCTTTCCCATTACTGACATTTTGGGAGATGTTCTGGAGAGGAAGAAATTTAGATTTTCTCTCCCCAACTCCTTTCCCAATAAAATAAGAAAATCTGAAATATATCGGCAGCATCAAATAGGTGTGTAACTCTCATTAAATTTGAGCTTGCATATATATAAGATTTTTTTTTATCAATCATGCAAGTGTGCATGGTGTGGCATAGGTGCAGTGGGTAAATTTTCTTCTGATGTTAGTTTCATGAAGAGATAGAAGGAGGCAGAAGTGAGTGAGCTGTTTGATTCACTATTCCTACAGTTAAAATGCATTGCTTGTTCTGCTTCTTCAACTAACATAAGTAAGAGTGTGCAGAGAAGTTTCTTTTATTTTAACTTGATAAACTAGTTGCAGAATGCAGATTGGATTAAACTCATGTTTCAAAATTGAATTGACCATATAATTATGAGTTTGATTCATTTCAACAGAGCCACATATATAATTTATTTAAAAGAATCAAGTTTAACCCCTTAAGGACCATACTTCTGGAATAAAAGGGAATCATGACATGTCACACATGTCATGTGTCCTTAAGGGGTTAAACAAGTCAAAATAAATCTATCAACTAAAGTTGTTATATTGCAATGGAGCCTAAACATTATTATATATTACATTCACATTTTAAATATGCTTCATCACTTTCCAAGGCGTTTTAATAAAACCAAATTAAAACAAATGTAGCTTAGTAGAAAGGTCAGCAAATAAAACAAGTAAAAGCAGCCATTTGTCATATATAAGTCATATGGGCCAGCTGCATCATATATAAATTATAAAGATGCCAAAAGAGGAGCTAAATAAGAAAATTAACAAGCTGATAGTCCAAGCGAGCAAGATAAACCCAAAATTGTACTGTGCATTAATGTGAAAAGAAAATTAAGGAAATGGGTAAATGACTTATTTAGAGTCAGGCAGAAAGAAAAAAAATCAACTACTTATAGGGAGGAAAACCAATGTCTTGGGATATAGAAATCAATGTAAAAAATTAAATATAGTAAACATGATTGGCTAACATATAGTAAGATATAGTGACAAATGATAAGAGTTAAAGCGGCACTGTCATGGCCGCATCCGTTTAGTTTTTTTAACCTCCCCCCCGACTCCACTACATCTAATTGCCCCCCTGGTCACACCCAAATGTCCTTAGGCCCCCTAATTTACCTATTTTTTCATCTTTATTTAATGCCCTGACCTAGGTCCTGGGCGCCGCCATCTTTGTGTGGGCAGATGGCGATATGGAATTCCTGCGCATGCCCAGTTAAACACTTGGGCATTCGCTATTGTCCAAAATTTGGATGGGAATTTAGTCTATTCATTCATTTGTCAGAAAGACGAATGAATGAATTGAAATTTCAGACGAACAAACAAACACAGAATGTCGGTGTTCGTTTGTTTAGTTTATTACAAGGAGGGAGCTATGGGCGCGCAGTTCTCTCCTTGTAATATGTAAAAATAGAAGCTGTGCTCCCTGCCTCTTCCTAGGACCCTCCATGTCCTTCCTCACTCTATGGGAGTCAATATGACCCCCATATTAACATAAGGGAGATTGAGATCTCCCGAATGCCCTTACTCGCTATGTCGTGAGTAGGGACATGTCTACTAAACAGTGAGCCCCCCTTCTAATAAATGTTCCCATGGTGGGGCATCTATTAACTAGTGGGGGGGCATTGTGTCCCCCTGAACCCCTTACTCATGCCCTGCCAGTTGGGGCTATTCAACTAAATAAAGCACATAAGGTCCCCCTTGGCCCCCAACCATGACAATAAGGTGGGTAAATAGTGGGCCTTACCTGATTGGCTAAAACCAACAAATCAGAGCGCTCTGAGTCAAATTGCAGGGCATGGGAAGGCTGAAAGAAAAAGGAAGGCATAAAATGGTAAGTTTTTTTTTTTGTATTTGCAGGTATTTTGTTTTATTGTCCACCCCTCACTATTTTCAGGGTGAGGGGGGTAGGTAGGGCTTTAGTTTATTTTTTTGGGGTGGGGTGACTAGGGGCTTGGGGACCCTAGTCACCTGGTGAGGGGGGGTAATTTTGTCTTTTAGGGCCACCCACCCACCGCTCACATCTGCCAGAGGTAAATAACACTACATAGCACAATATGACCCTTTAGGTGGGGGGAGACTATATAAATCAGATATTATTTATAAGGAACTAAAACACACAAAAAAGAAAATCAAAGATTAATCACAGTGAAATTACATTAGCATTCTGCCTCACAAACTTAACTAGTAGGAAACAATTACATATGTAGGAAACTGCCCAAAACAAGAGACTTTAACTGCAAACAAGTCGAGAAACTGAGGATGTTGCTGAACATAGTTGCCCTGGCTCAAACAGGATAAGTTTGGACAGATTCTTAGTTTGTGTCTGTAGCATGTTTGTCTTGTGGGAGAGTAAGGTCCAGTTGAGCTAAGGGAGCAACCACTTCAGGAATATCAGTGACATGGTGCTTAGATTCATTGTGTTGAATAATTAGAACCTGGAGCACAAAATTGATATTTTAAATTA